CGTTGCGGCGGCGACGGCGACCACGGTGCCCTCGTTCACCTTGCCGGCAACCTGCTCGGGGATGAGCACGCCGGCCTTCGTCTGCTTCGCCGCCAGCGTGCGCTTCACCAGCACGCGCGGGCCAAGCGGCTGCAGCTTCCTCAGGGCGGAGAACGTGGCGCGGAACATTGGCGAGAGTGTGGGTTTCTGTTGCGGCTGTTTCTCGTAAAAATAAAAAGAAGAAGTGACTTCCTTGTTTTTTCTGTTTTGCGTGTCGCGGTGGTCGCTTTCGCTTTTTTCTTATTGGCAACGGGGGTGGGAGCAAAAGCGGGAGGTGGCGGCGGAGGCAGCAAAACGTTTACTGGAGGAACAGACGCAGAGACAAGAAAGCAGCAGCGTGCATGCCTACGAAGTACTTTGGCCCTTCGATCCCGTCGCTGGGGGTGTTTGGCAAAAGACATGGCAACAAAAACTGCCAAACAGAAAGGAGTTGAAGACGATGCGGCAGGGCCTCAAATGCACGGCTCACGTCTCGTCTAGTGTGTGTGTGTGTGCGTTTTTTTTTTTTCAGACATCTAGGGGAAATGCACTGGGGGGCCTACTCCTTGCCCGGCTACAGCAGAAGCAGGGCCCGCAGCAGTGAAAAGAAGGCGCCCGCATTTAAGTAAAACGTCCCGTCCTCCTCCCTGATCACAATACGTGTGGTGGAGTTCGCTTCCTGCGGCGTCACGGCACCCGCGTCGGGTGTCCCACAGGGGTGGTTCGCAAGCCACGCCACCGTTCGCCTCGCCTCCTGCTCGGACCAGTCCAAGTAGCGACGCACACGGAGAACTATAATGAGTCGCGAGAGGCGCACCGAGCCCGTTCCCTCAATGTCGGCAACGCGGTGCAGGTGCTCTGGGAGTGCCGCGTCGCGCCCCCACGCCTCCCGCAAGCGTTGCCCCCGCAGACGCGGAGCCGACAGGTGGCTCCCTTCCTGCACCTCCCCGCGCAGCCTGCGGTAGAGGGGCGAGCTCACCGACGCCGGTCTCGAGGCCGCGTTGGGCCTGCCAACGGGGGAGACCCCAACGTACGACTCCGTCGTGAGGCTCACGGCGGTTGCTTCCTCGCTCACGTGCGACACATTTTTCTCAGGCAGCGCCGGCTCTCCCTTTTCGGACGACAACGGCACCGTGCCGTACAAATGCGAACGCGCCGTTTGTAGCCTCTCCCACAACGAGGCCGTCTCACACCGTATTCTCTCCATCAAACCTGCGGGCCCCCCGCATGAAGGGACGAGAGAACCACGCCCCGTGCTCTGCGACGCCGCGGAGGCCAAGTGCGCCAAGGGCCGGCGCACGGCATTTTCGCCTTCCTTCCGCCGTGGAGCGGGAGCAGTGCCACGACAAGAGGAAGAGGAGCAAGAAAAAAAAGAGGGGCATGTACGCATCTCCTCTCGCTGCGGCGTCACGCTGCGGGGGCGAGGAACGTAGCGAAACGCTGCTGGCCCCTGCAGCGGCCGAGGTCTCGAGTCGTACGTCGTCCCTGCGGCATCGTCGTCGCCGTCGTCGGCGGGGCCAACGTAAAGCACGCAACCCTGCGGGCCCACCCACCGCAATGAATTCTCCTCCGGGCACGCCGTACCCACCGCAGCGCCCAGCGTCTGCGTAAAGAAGGCACGCAGCACCGGGCGGTCGTCCGCCACGCCCCCGCTGAGGCCCGCAGTGCACGGGCGCCGCAAGTCCACGCCGCCGTAGACGTTGAGTGGGCGGGAAGCATCGCCTCCGCCGCAACCCGAAGGGACACTGCCACGCACACCCAGCATCGCACGGAACTGGGTAGTTTGCAAGCAGCCACCAAAAAAGAAAGAGCACAGAAAGAAAGGAGGAAAAAAAAACGGCAGGAGGTAACCAGCACGGGAACTAACGCGAAGGTCCATCAAAGCACCCGCAAAGAAACTACACACGCACACAGGGGCGGATAATAAACAAGCTCAGGAAGCGTGAACGCACCAGCACCACGAATTCCTTACGAGGTGCGTTTATCGGACGTGTCGTATCGCGCTCACCAATAGGGACCGGTACCCGACACGATCATCCGCCAAACGCACACAAATTGTGGAAAATAATAATAAATAATAAACAATAAATAAATAAATTTAGAAACAAATACTCCATCACGTAGCTCCTTAGCGGCCTCTGCGGAGAAGCCACAACTCATCCCTGCAGCACGCCGAGCAGGGAGTCCTCGTTGTAGAGGAAGAACTCCTCACCCTCCACCTTCACGCTGCTGCCGCCAAACTCGGGGAGCAGCACCGTGTCGTTCACCTTCACGGTGGGGGCCCAGTCCTTCGTTGCGGCGGCGACGGCGACCACGGTGCCCTCGTTCACCTTGCCGGCAACCTGCTCGGGGATGAGCACGCCGGCCTTCGTCTGCTTCGCCGCCAGCGTGCGCTTCACCAGCACGCGCGGGCCAAGCGGCTGCAGCTTCCTCAGGGCGGAGAACGTGGCGCGGAACATTGGCGAGAGTGTGGGTTTCTGTTG